AGCTATTTGAGTTTGACTTGTTTAAATATATAAGCGATTCGAGATTGAGTTTTTTCAATTCAAACCGACATATGTTAGCAGATAATTTGTTTATAATCATAACTAAAACCATTTACAGGCCGAAACCGTCGATACCGGGCTGAGAGTTGGAGGAGCATGAACCAACGCGAACATATGTACGGGTCGGTTCATTGAATTGTCGATTACTGGTCGTCCGATTAATTAAAAAATACAAAATAATTAGAATAATATTTAAAAAAAATGAACCTCGGGTTCCGTTCCAGTTCGAAACCAAAACTGCATGTTCAAAATGTATAAACTATAAAGTATTGTACATGAACCGAACTGGTCAAAACCATGGGTTTGTTCAAGACCATGGTCAACAGGTCTGCTTGTGTCGGTTTGGGCCGAACCGACATGCTGGGTCGGCCCATGACCATGTCTACAAGGTTCCAATAATAGCTAGCAGCCCCAGGTTAAAAAAATTCCTGGCTACGCCCCTGGTTTTATAATTTCGACTGATTTATATTGGTTTTTAACAGAAATTTACACACCCTAATTGTGGTATTATATTCTCCGCAAATATATATATATATATATATATATATATTTAAAAAATAAAATGAAATTGACGAATATATTTAGTCTTAACTTTTCTAATCTTTTTCGTGTGGCTGTGTGATGATAAACACACTCTATTTTTTCTTTTTCACGAAGCATTGGTTGCTTGCAAAATCCAATTAATTGCATGTGGTGCAATCATATATTCGCAAGTGGGAAGGTGATGATATTCAATTTTATATAATATAATAGTTATTAAAAGTGTCAAAAATTTAAATTGATCCTAAAATTCATCTAGCCATGATTGTATAGACGAGCTCTAGCTATACGTGGAGCTCTATACCAATCGAGCCAAGTCGAAGTCGAGCTCTTGATAATCTCGAGTCTAAACTCGGGTCATTAATTAAGTTAATGCATGATTGTATAAACGAGCTCATTCTTAAGAAATCAAATTAATTATGCTAAAATTTTATAATATTACCTATCGACCCCTAATTTCTTTAACTTGAACGTTAACTGCCGATCCTTAACTAGCTTAACCTGTCTCTTATGGATTGAGCCGAATCGGTTCACGAGCACAATCTATTGTCCTTAACTAGCTTAATCTCACAAGCCACTATAACTTTCTATTCATATTGGTTAATACAATCAGGATACTATTATAACTTAACGGTAAGCTTGTAAATGAGTCGACCCAAACTTGGTTCGTTAAATAAACGAGCTTGAAATTGAGCTCGAGCTCACCTCATTTATCGCTAATAACGAGCCGAGTTTGAACTTTAACGAGTCAATCTCGATCTTTAACGAGCAAAACTATAAAGAAAATTATATAAAAAACTCTTTTTCGGAGTCTTAATTAAAAAATGTTATCGAGCCGAGTCGAGTTCGGATCGTTAACAAAACGATCTTGAAATGAACTCGAGCTCGAATCGCTTCTCAAATGAACTGATCCGAATCAGACTCGTTTAATTTAACAGTAACAAACTTTACACTTTCGAATCTGCTAATTAATTACATCAACAAATACTATCAGTTATCCATATCCACTATTCTTCGTAGTCTCTATCATGTAATACACTACTAGAAACAAGTGCATTAGTAACGAAATTTTGCAACGGATTAGTATTGGTGCCATCATTACAGTATTAGTAACATAATTTTGTAACGGATTTAAATTGGTGCCATGATTATGAGTTTTTGCAACGAAATCTAATTTGGTTTTATTACGAAACCACATTTACTTTATTTAGCTAGCTAGGTTTAATTCGAATAAAAATAATAATTAATTGTTGAAATTAAATGTACATAATAAGATTTTATTGAAAATTGAATTTCAACTAAAAGAAAAAATATGATGATTAATGTCGAAAATGATTGTCTTATACACTACTTTTGAATAATAAATGGACTAAAAATTAGCCGTAGTGAATTGATCTTACCTCGATTTGAAAATTAGCGACTTGTATTTTCAATTTTGGGTGTCCTCAATTTTTCTGGCTTGCACTCGCAATTGGTTTTCGGATACAAAAAAATTTATAATCGAAGCGGCTTGATCAGTTCTATCATATACCGTCTATCCGCACTCGAAATCACCAGTGAAATACGAAAAATACATAAAATCGACACCATGACGTAGTTCAATTTTTGGCT